TAGGTGTTATCAGGCCTCAATTAAGTTTTACAATTTTACAGAAATCATGGTATATTTCATCAGACACTTCGGAGTCCACGATTTTATGCCTTGGGCACAATGATGGTGTCTATTGCTGATTTTACAGGAAGGAAGTTATTTTATATAGGTATCTAAAGCTATAGCAAAATTATAACCAATTTTTTTTGTGCTGCCTTTCTTAATTGAAAAAGATATCCTTCAAAACTTGAACGTAAAGTAAAATAAATTATGATCAATTTAGTTCAAAGATACTTACCTACAGAATTCATTTTATTTCACTGTAGCTCTGTACTACATGATAAACGAAAGTTTTAACGCGTTTTAAGGGAAAACCACCGGGAGTAAAGAACAGAGAAACAAACAAACGTAACCGAACACTGCTCATTGGCAAACACAAACTTGCAAAATCCGAGAGTCAAAATTTTCGTTTCATAATTTAGACTTTGTTAAAAATCACGATACGAATATTTGTTTACACTCACAATGACGCAATTTTTTATAGCGTGTTTTTATCTGTCTGTAATAAAATATCATTATATGTTAGATTGAATATTATAACAATAGTAAAATGGCTCGTGTTTTAGTAATAAAATTGTATGAATATCCGAAAAATATCAAAAATAGTGTTTAACCAATACACAACCAAATGTTTTGGTTACCTATTTGCTGATTCGTGGTTTCAAACACCAAAGGATTTTAAAGTCGACTGGTAGTTTATGGACCGGAGAGTGACTGACAGAAGCAATTTCTTACCCCGGAAAATGAAATGTATTTTATTCTTTATTTATAAATTACAAATTTAACGCGCGCGGGGAAGGGAATGCGGAGAATACTAACTTCTACTTAAGGAAAATTTTGGGAAAATATTGTCTACAATAAAAAATATATTATTCTCATTTTAAAATGCTTTGATTACCCCGCAACGTCTGAACCTTCGTTCAACAATTGTTGATCGAAGGTCTGAACAGTGCTAATTATACTCCGATTGATTGCCTGTTAGTGTTCAGTATTGCATTAGATTCTGGGATGACGCTTGTACAAACTTCTTTACAAGTCAATTTTTATTTATTTTTTATTGCTTTGATGGGTGGACGATTTCACAGCCAACCTGGTGTTAAGTGGTTACTGGAGCCCCTAAACATCTACAACGTAAATGCGCCACCCACTTTGAGATATAAGTTCTAAGGTTTCAAGTATAATTACAACGGCTGCCCCACCCTTCAAACCGAAACGCATTACTGCTTCACGGCAGAAACAGGCAGGGTGGTGGTACCCACCCGCGCGGACTCACAAGAGGTCCTAAGCAATAAAAAAAAATTTAAAAAAAATTATTGTTTATTACTACTATTTTTAGAGTCAATAGTAGATCATGGTAAGAAAAGTAGTAATATCACCATGTCCTAAATAAAACCTTGTTGATTTTTCTCTACAATCGTAAGGCTATGACTCATTTTATCTGAACTCATTCGGAGTCGTTCATACATTTTAAACTATGTAAGCATACTTTTATATTCCACTTGTGTTTGCTTTATGACGGAAAGATAGTTGGCCATGCATTTAAAAATTTGACAAGTAACGCACACAAAATCGAATATTTCTTCTCCGGAAATAATTACGGGAATACTTTAATTATATCCAAGATAAAGTTTCTTAATTCAAGAAGTCGTCGTCGTCGGACAGAGATGGCAACACTCATTTATAAAGAAGAGTGTTAAATAAGATTTTGTTTTGTAATAAAAAAAATGTATTTTACTTATCTATAGATCGCTACAGCTATAACATATAAATTATTCAAGGCACAGCATGTGTTTTAAATATAAAAATTAACCTAAAATTAAGTAAGCTTGTCTTTTAAAATATATTCCCACTCACAGTGTTTCAATATGCAAAAAAATCAACGCATGTGGTTAATTTTACCTACCGGTAATAAATTTCGTCACTACGAGTATTATATTACGTATAGATGAAATTTAAAAAAGTAACAATAACAGAAGTTGGCCGAATTTTTAAAAATTAAAATTACAGAGATACCTACTTTTGACACTGCAAGCTAATCCTCAGATGATCATATGACGCTTTTACGTACTTATAATAATGCTCAAGGCGCGTGTACCAAATCCATCTTCCAGTTGCGGAAACACAGCAGTAATATATTAATAGGATCTTCAACTAACAGCGTATTATTTTATAGCGCCCATATTAGCGTAATTGAAATTAAGGAGAATGCCAATCGTTATTCGTTCAAGTAACATTATGGGATCAAAATTGAGTTGGGAAATTGGAACTTTCAAATTGTTTAATTTATTCACAATAAGAACTAGCCTGTGCGGATTGCGGAATAGATCTCGAAAGGACGTAGCCGTACTCTAAGATTGTCCTCAAAGAGAGATAGACACAACGATTTTATTTTTGATCCAAATAATTTTGATGATATATTTTAAAAAAAAGTATCAAATAATTCATGTTCCGCAGATCACAGTAAACTGGTTAAGAAAAACCTGAGTTACGTAAGCAATAAATATAGAAACAGTACTCTTCATACCCTATACGAATGTGTCATTTTATCGCGATCACGAAAACCAAATACGGTAAAACAGTGTTCTCATTTCTAATTCAGAAAAAAATAAAAGAACATAAGAGTTAAGTTTGAATAAATATAAAACGTGTTTAATGTGCACGTACGTAGCAGCTTAACGTTAATCCATAAATAAGCAAATCTTGTTGATATCTTAGAGAATTGGTTCACAATGTTATCAGATACAAATATTAGCACCGTTGTCGTTAGCAGCTTCTTCTTCGACCTTGTCGTACCACCAATCCACGTTAAATTTAACTGAAACTTCATTTAAATAATAAACCAATATTTAAAAGAGATTATTTGTCATTCAAATTGCGATTACATTGCATATGCGTGCGAGTGTCTGCATAGAATAAATAATGGAAACAAAGCATAATTTCCACGTAAACTTGACCATTTTATTTTTCTCGAACCATAAATTACTTAGTGTGTCGAATAGACAACGTAGTTTTCACGCCTTATTATTGTAGTTAATTACAAATATGTTTGTCAGACATAAATTAATTACTATAATTTCCACTAGACTAAATGAAATAAAAATTGACAAAGTAATCCTTTTAAGGATTAGAGATTTTCTATCCAGGTAAATTGCCCATAATTTAAGAATTTTCTTCGTGTCATTTGCCCGTTTTTGAAAATTTCTTAACGGTAGGAAGCAGCTTGGCTCTGCCCCTGACAATGCCTGAAGTCCGTGGGCGACGGTAACCACACACCGTCAAGTGGGCCGTATGCTCGTCTGACTACAAGGGAAATAAAAATAAATAAATAAAAACCCTAATTGCTGTTACTCATGTTACATTGGATGAAGTCGAAGTCAGATTTTTTGGCAAACCATTGCAAGTGCTTACAAATTAAGGCACATTCTGCGTATGTACATACATACATTGTTGGCGACGCGGAAATTAAACCACCTTAGATGTTTTTTCTCTGTATGACAAAGGATCGTATCGAAGTCGGTATTGGATAGTGCAGCATAGCAGCAAAGTTTCATTAGGATCTCGTATAATGGTAGTAGTCGTGAATATGAGAATATTCATTATTTAATTATTATTTTTATTACATTATTAATACATTACAATTACATTATTAATTATTCACAAAACACGTTTACAGTAACTTTTATTATGATTAATATAAAATTAATCATAATAATTTTATATTATTTCATACAAGTGACATTAAAACAAAAATTAACGCAATGTGATCTATGCTATTAATTAACTAATAAATAATATGTTTGGTGAATGTCCTGGGGTAAAGGTTTCCTCCAAGGATAGCCAATCTTATCTACATTGGGTAATTATTAATATAAATTAGGCTATTTATTGTTAAGCTCATGTGATTTTTGTTATACATTTAGCTTAATTAATAGTCAAAAAGAATTTAACAACGATAAATCGAGCCTTACTGAATATTCACTGAAACACATCAAGTACTCTAATCCTTGAATCATTGTTAATGGCCGTACTAAAACAATTTCAACGACTCATCTATTTACTTTGTCTCTTACGTAGACAGTATTATTCATGAATGCTCCTCTGCGTTCACGAAGCATCTTTAAATAATTAAAGAAGATCAATTATGACTGAAAATTTTGTCAATTTTTTTTACCGGGCTTCACTGCCTATTATTTAATTTAATTTAATGATTTCATTTATGAGTACTTATGGGTACTGGTGGTAGGACGTCTTGTGAGTCCGCACAGGTAAGTACCACCACCCTGATTTCTGCCGTGAATCAGTAATGCGTTTCGATTTGAAAGGGGGGGGGGGCGTTGCACTGTTAAAAGTGAGACCTTACAACTCATGTCTCAAGGTGGGTGGCGGCATTTACATTGTAGAGGTCTATAGGTTCGGTAACCATTTAACATCAGGTGGGCCGTGAGCTCGTCTACCCACCTAAGCAATAAAAAAAGTGCTCCGGTAACCGTTTAACATTGAATAGGACTTGAGTTCCGTCTATCTAGTGCAGTTAGAAAATCTGAATCTATGGAGGGGACAGCGTTCGCTCTTTTTTTGTATTTTATACCTTGGTGCTTGGGGCGTAATATTCTGAGGAAGTGTTTGAGATAATCACTCTTTTTTTTGTTCTATTTCATTTATGCATTGTTTCATATATTCCTGCATGGCTTGGGGTTACTTACCACCAGATTAGAAGTTATCTTTAAACTTAGAAGTTGCAAAATCTGACTCTGTGGCAGACTGAGCGCTATGATATGTCCTTTTTAAATGATGCTTGAAAAAATACGATTAACTATAAGCAGCTGCTTGGTTACTCCCCTGGCATTGCCGATGGTGGTTACGATGTCCCTCACGTTAGCCGTATGCTCGTCTGCTTTCCAAAATATTAATAAAATGTCTTATATGTTTTAGTAAAATTGTATCTTTAATGTCTTCAACAGGATAGCGCCCTTAGAATGTCCAAGCTTAGACAGCGGAGACAGTTTTACTCAGTCGGAGTTCTTATCAAGACTCGCAAACGAATGCCGCTACGACCGGCTACTGCTGCCTACCTATCAGACCGGTGACGTAGTCTACGTCCATGCCAGCGCCTATGTTTATTTCATTCAACCAGCAGAAGCACACGATTTGGTAAACATTACGTTTTGTATCACAATAACAATATAATAAGATATATATTAACCCTCTGAGGTCCAGTGTCCACACGTATTGGACATATAGTTTTACATTACATTAGTCTTAGGACCGCAAAGGGTTAAGATATAATAAGATAAGAAAAAAATCTGTTTGACTCGTCTCTTCATAATATTAAACACAGCCACGGCCTTTCTTATTATAAGAGATTACAGGAGTCCGTAGACCTTGAGGCCTAAAGTAATGTCTCAGTTGTATTGTATAACGGAGTTATCTTCATGTTTGACTAAAAACTTAAAAGCCATATTTTAGTCACTCAGTTGTAATGTCATTTATGAAATACAATAAGAAATGTAAACATTTCGAAGGTGTCTTAAGAAAATAAAAAACAAAACATATTCTCGTTACATTTTCGGTAAAAATACTAAAATCATTTCAGAATTTTAAACTTCACTTCCTTCTGCAACTGCGATGGACGGACCCGCGCCTAGCGTACACACTCTACTCTCCGAAAAGATCTAAAATCATAGGTGAAAATGTTCTGAAACAAAGAATATGGGTGCCACATCTATACATGTCGAACGAACAGTCGTCGAGTCTCATGGGAACCGACAGTAAAGACGTTCTCATTTCAATTGCTCCCGACGGTGAAGTGCTTTTCAGCAGGCGAATGCAGGCAGTGTTGTACTGTTGGATGAATCTACAGAAATTCCCCTTTGACGATCAGACATGCTCTATGAACTTGGAAAGCTGTAAGTTTCAATTCGAAATTTAATTGTATATAGAGACGTTTCGAATACTTTACTGGTTTCGTTTTAATATAAATAATATAATTACAATAAAAAACGCAAAATGAAACCTTCAAAATAGTTTTAAGTATATTTACGACCCGCTATAAACTCGGAATAACCAAAGAAAATACTTATATTAACGTCCGTCTGGTGTAGTGGTAAGTGATATGGTCACTACACAAGGGGGTTGCGGGTTCGAATCCCGCCAAGGGAAGATATTTGTATGAAAAATATAAATGTCTTTTCCAGGGTTATGGATGTATATTAAATATATGTATGTGTATAATAAAAATCTTACATTTATTTCCGTTATCTGGTACCTGTAACACAAGTTCTTTACGAACTTATCACGGGACCAGTTAACGTGGCGTGATTGTTAATTAAAAAAAAATAATTATAATATTATATTATACTATTTAAATATACGTTACAGGGAAATATAATGCATCGATTCTACGTTTAATGTGGGAAAAGGATAATCCAGTTCGCTTATCATCGGAACTACACCTGACAGAATATTCTCTCATGGATTTTTGGACGAACGAATCTGTTGTCAGAGGCGATATAGNTTAACGTGGCGTGATTGTTAATTAAAAAAAAATAATTATAATATTATATTATACTATTTAAATATACGTTACAGGGAAATATAATGCATCGATTCTACGTTTAATGTGGGAAAAGGATAATCCAGTTCGCTTATCATCGGAACTACACCTGACAGAATATTCTCTCATGGATTTTTGGACGAACGAATCTGTTGTCAGAGGCGATATAGCCAACATGCGTCTTGGTGGAGGTAACTGTAATTTCTTTTGTTTTGTTTTTTCAAAACTGTTTATAACTAATATCTGACTCACAGTAATTTTATTAATTTTTTTAGCGGGTAATTATAGCGCCTTAAAATTCACATTCAAACTTGGTCGCGAGGTCGGTTACTATCTCATGGATTATTTTATTCCATCGATGATGATAGTGGCAATGTCGTGGGTTACGTTTTGGCTACAAGCGGACGCATCAGCACCAAGAATAACTTTAGGTAAATATTTGGAACTTAATAGCTGATATGGATCCATTTCTGAAGATACGTAATTCGGTAATTCCTTGAGCCTAACGCTCATTTGAAACTTCAATTCTGTCAACTGTCTTTAGAATTTCCTTCCCTACTTTATCGTTGGTAGCCTACCGGACCGGTAGGTGAGCTCACGAGCTCAACCTGAGAGCATTGGTAAGACTAGCCCTAGCAAGAGCAGTGCTTCACTGAACCTACTACTGAATCGGAATCGCGACCGACTGAGAAGATCCGGTGAGAAACTCAGTGGATAGTGTCTATGGGCTAGTTCATTCGTAGAAATCTTCTTCTCCTCTTTAGGTGTCTCTTTAGATGATACGCAATGTACCATAATAACTATTGGTTACGACATGGTATTAAGAGGAATTTGCGTTTTGTTCATACTGACTGAAAACTTAAGTCAGAAAAGTATCTGTTGCCGTTTTCGTTGTAGGTAAATATTATAAGCGGATCTAATGTTGCTAGGATAACAATATTTTTTTTTAATCTAGTTTATATCATTTACAGATATTAAAAGAATACATTAAATGAGGAAAAACAATTCAAACTAAACCGGTCGATTGTGTTGTAGTTATTTTTCGAGAAAAAAAACCAATTGTGTTTTAGAGGAAAATACGAAACTTTGATTACGGCTTTTTAGTCTTAGTTTTCAGTCAGAAAAGTTTGCTTTTCATGAAGGTTTTACATTATATCACATTTTCTGAAGTATTCTAAATATGTAACAATTACCTAACCTACCGAATTAAAATTGTTTTGCGTTGCGTTCATTGAGTTGCGTTATGGTACTTTATTATTACTGTTTCGGCTTCGGGAATGGTTTCATACAGCCACTATAAATACAATAATTACTACTGTCACAATTGTACTTTGTAATTAATATAAACCTTATTTTTAGGTACAAGCACAATGTTATCGTTTATAACACTCGCATCATCGCAAGCGAAGACACTACCTAAAGTTTCATATATCAAAGCTAGCGAGGTCTGGTTCTTAGGCTGCACCGGTTTCATCTTCTCAGCTCTTGTAGAATTTGCTTTTGTCAACACCATTTGGAGAAGAAAGTAAGACATTATAATTTCCTAACTAAGCACTTGCCTTAGCTGTTTACAAAAGTCGTATCGTTTAATAGACCAACAATATATAATTTATCAAATTAGTAGCTAAACTCATAATCCGTGATTTACAGGAAAGCGGTAAACTTAAAAAAGGTGAATAGCAAATACATTCTGAAGAGCACGCTTACTCCGCGTTTGGCCCGTAAGGAACTTCAAAAAGAAATACAAGAATCTTCACCGCAACTTTCGAAATCGAGATCTTGCTCGTCGCTGCAGCAGGAGGGCAGCTGCAACGACCCAGCCGGTCCCGGTTACAACAACTACCTCACTGTGCACGTATGTATCGAATTATGAGCTACCAATGAAATACTTCGTATAGGTACCTGAAATACATAAGTAACTTTGAAGTCGTCGTGGCCTAAAGGATAAGACGTCCGGTGCATTCGTGTTGAGCGATGCACAGGTGTTCGAATCTCAGGCGGGTACCAATTTTTCTAATGAAATACGTAATCAACAAATGTTCACGATTGACTTCCACGCTGAAGGAATAACATCGTGTAATAAAAATCAAACCTGCAAAATTATAATTTGCATAATTACTGGTGGTAGGACCTCTTGTGAGTCCGCGCGGGTAGATACCACCACCCCGCCTATATTTAATACTATACTTGAGACCTTATAACTTATATCTCAAGGTGGGTGGCGCATTTAGGTTATAGATGTCTATGGGCTCCAGTAACCACTTAACACCAGGTGGGATGTGAGCTACCACGAGCTACGTCCGAGTGGACGGATCGAAGCAAAAAAATTAAAATTTAAGTAAACTTTCATACTAGAAAAATCTCGCCGATACTTCCATCATAGTAACTTTAACTCGGAAATTAAAACAGTAATATTATTGAGGTATTTAAACTATGCAAGATTTATATAGTGTTTGTAGTGATATCGCAAAGCAAAGTTGATTAGCAATATTATGTTTTCTGTCTAATGCAGCCGAACAGGGAATTGTAAGGTAATTTCATGCTACTGATTTAATTATGCGAGTATTAATAATATATAAAAAAAAAATTAATATTCTTGATCTTCGTCAACCTTACCAACAAACCAGAAAATAAGAAGTTAGTTGGGAAACTATCCATGCGGCATCCAGCATACCCTGTTCACGAATCCGTTGGTACTTAGGATACGAACTAAGGGATCTTAATAATTATTTGGAAATTAAACTAGAGTGAATTTTTTTTATTACATTTATTATATCGAGAGGTGAAAAGCTATTTAGTTTAAGCGACATTCAGCTTAATACGCGAGATATCTTTATAATTTTATGAAAGGTGCGTTTTATTTAGCATTAGCATCAACAGTTCGGTGCTTTTAATTTTAGAAGTTTTTTTTTATAATATTGATTTCAAATTTCAAACTTTAAATGGCTCTCCTGTAAAGTCGCAAAAATGTTACTTAAACCTTATTTGCTTTGGCCTTTCACCCCTCGATATAGAAGAAGTGTAGTCTATACTTCTAATTAATTTATACCTTGACGGACTTTACCGTTAGGGTCGCATGAGTTGAACTTGACACACTGGTATACGATTTTTATTTAAAAGATGGCCTCTCTTCAGTAAATATCAGTAGACTCTCTTGATATTGCTCATGTTGCATGGATGTGAATAATAATAATACAAGTCGTAACTTAAAATAATTTGAGATGTTAAATATCTCTTTATCTATTCTCATTGTACAGTCTATTACAAGTATTTTGAGATTTTAATCGTTCCGTAACTAAACTGATTTAAAATTGTCGTGAATTACGGGATCTGAATAAATATTTTTTTTTAAATCTATCAAATGAAATTTAGTATTAATGACAAACACAAGTAATAAAATAGATGGATTGAACCTTAGAGGGATTGAACAATTCAAATTAAATATATATATATATACACTAGCAGACCCGGCCACACGTTGCTGTGGCTAAGGTTTTTTTTTCTAAATAACACGCAGCCGGTTATGCTAATATCAAAAATTGATAAAGTAAGAACAATTGTATTTCACAGTATTGCGTTTACTACGAAATAAATTTCACTTATACTTAAGCCTCAGGAACACGTGGTGTTTATACCATTAAATTGTAGCTTATGTAAAACGTTGTTATTTTTAACACATCGCCATCTATGAGATATTAATGTCAGACAGTATTACAATTGTCTGTAAAAACTGATTTAAGGCGCCATCTGTTTTAGACTTATGAAACTTACAATTAATAATAAAAATCAACATAAGAAATCATTTTATTGTTAATAAATAAGTATTGCGACCATTTATCGAAATAAAAGCCATCCTATCTTTCAACTTGAATCAAACTGCACACGGTGTGCAATTTAAATTTAAAATCGGTTAAGTAGTTTAGGAGTCCATCGCGGACAAACAACGTGACACGTGATTTATATATATTAAGATATTATGTGTGTACATACATACTTATTTAATTTAAAAATTAATTTGGACTAATTTCAGAGTTTCCCATCGGCCCTAAATTTACCAACGATTACAACGCAGAGCTTTGACGGGCTGATGGGAAGCCCCAGCAGCAAGTCTCACAATGGCAGCGAGGATTCCGACGAACCTCCCAAACGTCACACTTGGACTACAATGACACCTCAGGAGATCGCTACTTGGATCGACAAACGATCCCGAATCCTATTCCCACTAATGTTTATATTCTTCAACGTTATTTACTGGACATTCGTGTATTGCCTTTGAAATGTTATTACGATGTAATTGGTTTTTATCGAACTCGGGATCCTGCATTATAATCATATTGATTATAAGTCGCGAATCACGAAACTACTTTCGATGCATTTCACGTTTGCAATAAACATTCCTGTATTGAAAATATTAAATTAATTAAGTTTATTACAACTACATTAAAACACAAACAGGATAAATATGAAAATAGGGAATTCCGAGGTAGACAAAAATTGTGATTAACAAAAAGAAGTAAGACGTGCGATCTTTCAAATGAAATCTTGCGTCATTAGAGAAGTAGTTAACATAATAAATTGACTTGAAATGTCTGTCTAATTGTAATTTATAATATGAATGTCCTTATAAAATTAATTTAAAAAAGTCACAAACCATTTACCTTCAAGTTATCTACACAGCAGCTTGGCTATGCCCCTAGGCATGTTTGACATTCATCGACAGTGATCACCACTCATCGCTTGCTTTAAAATGCAAAAATGCAATGAGTTTAAATATAGTCATAGAAAAAAGCATTTACAAAAACTAGTTTTCGCCAAATGATTGAAATTCGACAGTAATCACTCACTCCTCTAGATTGTTTTATGTGTTATATTTTCTCCTCTGCTTTTTTTATTTCACGATTTGAAAAACTGATAACCCTAAAGTATGACTAAAAAAAATTGGTTGCCAAACAGGAGAAAACAGTTGTTTTTTATAGAAGAATAGGCATAGGCCTATTAAAAGATAAATAAAGATTAAAATAAGAACGGCTTTAGCGTAGATTATGTACTTACTGTTTTTCACTATTAGGTTAGGTATGAAATTGAAAATAAAGTATTGTGGCCATATCTCACGTTTCTACTACGATGTATTCTAGTTTTATCATTGTTTTTTTTAAGCTTAATTAGTTAAACTTTCCGATATTCCATTCCCATGTTTTAATAAAAGTAGCCGATTGTTGATGGCTGTGTAGCTCACGGTTATCATTTTCTTTTTTAAAGAATCCTTCATGTTAATCATCTTATTTTTTTCCAAGCTAATTAATTCTTTTTAGGGGAATAAACAAACAATTTATACCTCTTCTACTGTACATTTTATTCATTTGATCTCTTGAGATGTTAGGTCGAATCAACGTTATTATAGTAATTATTATTTTAACTGGACAAACATTGAAATTGTGAAATTCTTGGGCCTGATAGTTGATAAAATTTAATGATTTTGTCTCATTTCTTGAATAAAATATACTTGACTATTCACAGGCACATTCCTCTCTTAATTCACTAGTTCAACTACGTTATCTATAGCAGTTTAATATCTTCGTTACAATTGACGTCGGCTATAGATCAAGGTTCAACAAGATTATCTATCGGTAACGTAGTTGACGCTTTCACGTCATTTAAATTAGGTTATGTTAAATAAATATAATAATCGCCAAACTTTTTTAAAAACAACATTTATGGATTTTTAATTAAAACACTAACTAATTATGAAATTCCTGCTTTTTTAACATAAATATTTCATCTCAAAGAGCGATCCTTTTATTTGTTTTTACGCGTACATTCTATTTTATTTGGCGCCGTTTGTCATCTGAATCTGAGGCATAGCGCCCCCCATAGGCTCTACCCGACGCCTGACGCTGATGACAATTTATATATTAATAAAAGAAGTTTATAGAAGATGTATTCTGTAAAAAATTCTAAAGTTACCATAAATAATACATAATTGGAAGTTACTAAATAAATACCAAAAGTGTTAAAAAGGTTACAAGTCTTTAATAACTATTTAAAATAATCTGGCTTTTTTATTTTATTGAGTCATTTTGTAAGCCTATAACTTTATCGAAGGTGCATCTAAATTCTATAGTGGCATCTATTATTTATTTATTTATTTATTGCACATTTAAGTACAGTGCATTATAGAATTTATAATAGGTAAAATTTTGATTCTGGTGATTATTAGACGTAGTGCTGTGTTGGCAATGTTGAAAGTGTTTGTTTATAAAGGTGATTTTTCTAAATATGAGCACACGAGATTTCAACTGTGAAATGAAACGTTCGTGATAATATTCTTTCAAGTGTTGTAAATATTTTTGTTTAGATAGTACTTACGGAAGAATCAAATTCAAACTAAATCGTTTTTGTTCAAGTAGGCTTTTACGGGCGCTTTTTTAATTATTATGGTCCTGATTTGTAATTCAGTTTCGTTGCTGAAAAAAAGTATCAGACCTTACTCTTTTGCAAATGTTGTACACATGTCTTTGATCATTTACAAAATATCTTAAAACATTATATTTATATGGCTTACATCTACCACTGCTGACCACATTTTTGATTCATAAGTTGATTATTGCAAGAATCTCTTAACATCTTCAGTCCAGTTTCAAATAAAACTGTTTTCGTAAGAAAAAAATCAAATCCACTTTGAGAGATGGAAACTGAGTTAAGAAATGATGAATTTTGGAAAGGAGAAAATTGAATGACGAACTAAGGATTTGTGAATTTTGTTATCCAAGTAATCAAGTGAGACCATACTTTAGTTACTCCTTTCATGCTCCACTACAGTAATAAGAAATTAGACAACAATACCATTTTAAAAACTAATATTAATAATTATCAGCACCTACGGTTCGCCATCTTATTAATGGTTTTATTATCACGTGAACGGTAGAACAAGATCTAAACGTACAAAATGATCTCGCATAGTATAATCGTACCACAAATCGTACGCTACATTCCTGGTTGCTGCTCGTATTTAGGAAAAGTCATTCTGTATAACAGCTCTAACAATGAAATAGACTAATATTTTGGTAGATTATTTGATAAGGTATTTAAATAGAATATGGTGTGTAATCTCAATACGTAATATAAACTTGAATAAATTGCCTTTTATTATTAACATTGAGTCCTACATTACATGACCTGACAATTCCTACAATATTCCTTTAATATACCTTTTCGAGTCGATTCCCACATATCTTTTTGCTAAACAGTGTTTTTTATACATTTTAGCGATGTTTTTTTTTATGAGTGAGAGCTTACTGGTGGCCCTGAGGCCTTTCCAGTTTCACAAGGACAGGTGGGCGAGCAAGGGCTTAGCCAGAAGGGGCGGGATTTGCTAACAGCTACCCAAGCGCCTCCAAGGGAGACCTAACAACTCAAGAGTAGCTGCTTCGCGAATGATTCTATTAACGGATCGGAATCGCGACCCGCTGAGAAGATCAGGCGAGAAAATCAACGGGCTGATGCTTAGGTTAGGTTGCACGTCGAACTCTTTGCCGAGTTCGACGAGTACGGTTACCGGGGTCTCTACTCCTAGTGTTAGAGCGGAAGGCGTCTAATGCAAGGGTTATTGGATCTAATGGATCCGTAAGGACGTGTCTAGGGCGACGACGGTGACTGGCTCCTGCGTGATCAAGATTCGGGGAGTAGTCAGCGGCGGCAACGATAAGGCGATTACCATGTATGAAGTACCGTTCCGACGCGGACTTCATGTATTTTCTGATCGATTCGAGGTCCAAATCGTCGTGTAAGTAAACGTTCCTCACGAACCACGGGGCTCCGACTGCTAACCTGCAAAAACGAGATTGTAGGGATTGGAGGGTGACTATGTGTGTGCGGGCCGCATGAGCAAACACCACACTCGTGTAAGTCATGATGGGCCTTATGCAAGCTTGTAAAGTGTCACCTTGTTCCGAAGGGACATTTTATTCCGCTTACAGATCATAGGGTAGAGTCTGCCGAGAATAAACGCGGTACGGTCGCGGACTGATTTTATATGTGGGCGGAATGTCATGGATGCATCCAGGGTGATACCCAAGTACTTGACCTTCCTGGCCCAGCGTATGGGTTGGCCGAAGAGGGTGATCGGGGGTGTGAGAGTTCTCCTCCTAATCCGGGAGGAAATCCAGAGTTTCCCCTTTGAAATAGCACCGTAGTGCTTTTCGCTGAGTTGATTTTAGCAATGTTGTTGTGGCATGATAACCTGCAGTTAATGGCTAATAATCCTTATAATAATTTATCTCTATAATTAATAAAGCCATTTCTCTTTATATGGAAATAATAAAACTGGAAAAGTGGTGTGTTTAAAAATAAATATTTCATTAATTCTTTAATTCATTGGGCAGAGTAATATGTGAAAGAAGAGTTGTAATTCGGAATTTTATTTTTATAACGGTTATCCTGCTCTGCAAGCTGAAGCCTTTGCACCAGAAAGTACGGGAAAATATTATTTGTGTACATTAAGCAGTTGATTAATCCCTCAGTCTTCCTCTTCTCCCTCTTTTTCTGTGGAGACGCCGTAGTCCGGTTATTACCTGGTCTGTTACACTCTCAATCGAGTATCCGTAAACGGATTTCCCAGCCTTAGAAAAAAGGTCGTTAGTAAATAAATCAATCAATCATTAGCAAATCAAACGGACTTAATATTTATTTAGTCGCGCTATTTAGCGCGGGCTTATGGATTTTAGCTGCCAGAAAAGTGAAAATTGTGACACAAATACAGTTTTATTGATGTCCAATTGCTTATTGATGTCCCTGGCTGAGATCCTAACAAAATATGACAAAAAGTAAGTCTTCGTGGAAAAAAAATCAGACCTTTAAATTTCCCTTTATACTTTTCAGCACACATATTACAAGATACGACACATAAATAAATGAGATAGAATATTTAAAAAATGGCAGCGACGTAAGCGCCTAAAGGTTTCGCCTCATCTCAGTTGCCCGACCCAGTTTTGTCTATGGCGAAGTTCGGAGTTCGAACTTCGGACACGAATTATTGAGTAACAAAGTTTTAGTTTCCTCCCCAAGTACCCCGCTTGCCACCTCCAGCTCGTGGGCAGAATCTGGTGATTTCCTCCTGCCCCAAAAATGTATAAAAGCGATGTAATGGAAAAAGAAAAAGAAAACTACAAGTTAAAATGTTTTGTAAAATTGAATTCGTTTGTGTATTTTAGAAGCAGTAGTAAAATAAAAATAAATTTAAATCAGTTTTTTTAAAGACATTTATTTATCCAAATCCAAACAAGATATATTAACGAAATACATTTGTCAAACGTCAACATTCACAATTTGATTTATGCGGATACCCCACTATGTATCCATGGAGACAGAAAACTACACAAAGACAGTACAAATGATTCAAAACATCAACACTACAATGCCGTTTCCTTTAATCACACATTGGCAACACTACACTAAAACCCAATTAATGATCTTTGTACCATTTAGTCACCCTACTTCTGTTTTCAATGGGTTTATACAAAAACAGAATGAAATCCCATCAGGTGAACCATGGTTGATTCATACAAAGACTAACGTGGAATATCGTCACGTTATTCCGGAAATTCATAATTTAAAAGATTTTCCTGCTATTTTCTCCAATAGTATTCAAGGAGCAGATTCGTCTCTGGCTCGCGGCGCCGCCGTCACAATGCTATCGTCACTTGCGTAACGCTTCAGAGTCACTGCACTCGGTTGGCTGAAAAAATTAAATTCTTATCTTAATTTTCAGAAAAAAATCTCGTGTTGTCCTTTTAAAACGATCTGACGCCATAAAATACAGCGTCAGTCCTATTGTATCCAGATCTATTATTGTATCTTAGTGACAACGTGATAAGTGGGTAAGTGCGTTACTGTTTTATTTTTCCTGCCTAAGCTGATAGCCTTGAGAGGCTATTTCAGCGTAACCTTAACTAGTAGGTGAGCTCACAGGGCTCAAATCTGACGACGTTGCTAACACGAACCCTAGCAAGAGTTGTGCTTCGCAGAATCTACCACCGGATCGGAAACGCGACCCACTCAGAAGATCCGGCGAGAAACTCAGTGGGCTGTGTCTTTGGGTTAATTTACTCGTCAAGCCCTTCGTCGCAAGCGACGGGTTCGACGAGAACGATGACCGGGTGCGTTACCAAAGAGCGGCCAGATTAATATGTGTTTTGTTTTTGATTCCGTACGGCTTGACGCCACTATTCAGCCGATTCGTATTGCAAAGTAGTCATGTAACCTAGTTTGAAACGCATCAAAACCGTTATACGATACGCACGTAAAACACAAAATGATCACTAAAATATTTATGGAAATGTAAAGAATATAAAGACCGTCGGATAAGCTAAATCAGTTAAACAATAAAACTGATAAACTGCAATTCTCGAAGAAATCACTGTTGCGTAAAAATACTTTTAAGTAAACATTAAAACCAAATAATTTGCTCATATTAATAACACAGTAAGAATAGTTTAAATGCTAACCTTAAATTGAACACATTTAAACGGCCGTCTGGTGTAGTGGTAAGTGACATGGTCACTACACAAGGGGGTCGCGGGTTCGAATCCCGCCAAGGGAAGATATTTGTATGATAATTAAAAATGTCTTTTCCAGGGGTATGGATGTATATTAAATATGTGTATGTGTATAATAAAAATCTTATATTTATTTCCGTTATCTGGTACCTGTAACACAAGTTCTTTACGAACTTATCACGGGACCAGTTAATGTGGCGTGACTGTTAGTAAATATTTATTTATTTATATTATTAAAAAAAAAAACAGTTCATTCTGCACATAACCAAATTTAGGGTATTTCAATATTTCCCTTTTTTTTCTTCAAAATGTTGTCACTTTGTAAAAAATTTATGAAGATATTGTTGAAGTGAATCAACTTATGTAATTATCACTGACCTACCTATTTCTAACCCAAAACTACTTAAATGCATTTGGGTAGAGACTTCTTTGACGGTTTTTCCAAAAATGGGACTTCGACTTCGTAGTATAAACATTATAACAATAAAGAAACGAAAAAAAGAATATAGATGATACCCATAGTACCTGTATCTCGTCCTTGGTCTTGGTGTAGGAGGCAGCCGCGGCAGGCGGTGATCCAATGCGAGAGTGCCACCGGATCCTGAACTCGACCCTCGCCCTGACCCACTCGAGCTCTCCGACCAGGTCAACTCAGACATGCTGATATAATTGATTATTATCATTACATTAAGGGTAACTATGGAATGATACATTAATAATATATAATATATATAACATATTGTCACGCCGGTAAGAGTAACGCCATCTATCGCCTAATAGTCGAACGAATATAGAATCCAGGATCCAGAATGCTCGAGAATTACAACGCCATCTATTGACAGATAGCGGAAACTACGACTAGAGGTGTGAAGAATATTCTCGATAATTCTAGGGATGAGGTGTCGGCTATAAAAACGTTGTCAAGTAGAGATGGCACGCAGTCAGTTAGTAATCGGAACCATAGATTATACACTTAATATGATCGGAACTACTCGAAGCGAAACAGCGAACGGATCACCTGAAACAAAGCGGAACAAGCGAATTCAGAGTTTTAAAGTGTTTGTTGAGTGTTTTAAAGTGTTTGTGAAGTCTTTAAGTGTTTTATGTGTTTAATACAGTTTTTAAGTTGTACTTTGGTGAATTTTTATTTATCCCGAACCCTAGCGCGTAACAATATTTTAAAGACATCAACAGTTAACGAATACAATTAAGTAATTGATTTCTTAGTAAAAAAAACAGTAATTTATAATAGGAAAAATAACACGATAAATTATTTCTAACTCGTTTTTTTTCAGGTTAAACGATTTTTACGTACTTTATAATTTTAGTCTATAAGACTAATATATTATAACACATGTAGTCATATTATAATTTGCCGATAGTAATGATAATAAGGCTATTGTTGAAATTATGTTGAATACATACAGAAAGTGCCAAAGAAATTATGTTAATACTATGGAGGGAGGCTAAGGAGCAAGCTTATTATGTAGGAAAATGTAAATATATAAAAAAAAAACGATTGTTCTGATTACGTTAATTGTATACACACGCACGCACGCACACACACACACACACACACACACAGATATATCCAATTAATCATATTAATCACCTAGTGGAAATTGGTGGAAGACGATACGGCGGTGTGTATATGTCGTTACTTTCAGTGTACGTAGAGGCGTGTATCTCTTGTTGGTAAAGCTCGTACAGTTGCGCCAACTCGGGCGGTATTCCGATACCCAGTTCTGAAAAACAAAATGTATTAAATTATTATTATTTATTTACATTAATCACAGTAGTGCTAACTGCTTGAACTAGAGGCTGCTAAAAATTTAACATGCTTTTATTACGTCTGACTTGTATCTACATAAGTGATGGAATCATCAAAGTAATTTTCACCAACTTCGAGACGTATCAAGGACCATTAATATTCTAACTGGAATAATCGGAACAAAGACTCAGAATATTTAGTTACTGTTTTTTTTATTTACTTGTCTGGTGGTTTCAGACTTGCGGCCGGCAACGTGTTCCCGTTTAAAAAATTGGAAATTCTAATGTTACAATTGTATTAATTGAGACCTCGATCTCATGTCTCAAGATGGGTGTGGCATTCACATTATGACGTCCCTAGGTGCAATAAAACATATAATAGTAATCGGCTTCAATATGAGATCTATTTTTGTGGATATAGACTTCTCATGGACTCCTAGTAGCTTATCAAGGTAACAGACTAATGAGGTTCTTTTTAGGATTGAAGGATTACTGGTGGCCCGGAGGCCTTTCCAGTTTCACCAGGACAGGTGGGCGAGCAAAGGCTCAGCCAGGAAGGGTGGGGTTTGCTAACAGCTGCCCGAGCGCCTCCGAAGGAGACCTAACAACTCAAGAGCAGCTGCTTCGCGAATGAATCTACTACCGGATCGGAATCGCGACCCGCTGAGAAGATCCGGCGAGAAACTCAGCGAGCTGATTCATGGGTTAGGTTGCACGTCGAACTTTTTGTCGAGTTCGACGAGTACGGTTACCGGGGTAATGAGGAACTCAGACAGGCAGTTGTATTATCAAATCAAATCAAATTAAATTAAAAAAAATATTATTCAACATAAATGAAAGTACATACTTGTTGAACGTCAAAAAGAACTACCGCCAATTCACAAAAACTAGTCTCCGTCCTGAGAAGAACTGGCAAGAAACTCAGCGGGCATGTCTTTTTTCTTTTTTATTTTATTTTTTAATATTAGATTTTTTTTTAAATATTCCTTTTTACAATGAGTATTAGAACGTAACAATTATTGCAATATTGAAATGCCCGGAGCGAGCAACTCATTCCCACTTTGTGCAATCTTCTAGAATCTAGATAATCATTGACTTTATACATATAGTAAGCTTTATTGCACAGATGTTCTTTAATAGTTTTCTTAAACCTATGTCTATGTAGGTTCTGAACATCTTGTGGGATAAAATTGGCGATATTGTGTGCAGTGTGTGTAGTGTAGTAGTAGTAGTAGTAGTAGTAGTAGTAGGTATAGCTAACCTTGCAGCGCCCGCCGTTGGCGCGTTATGATCTCGTCGGAGAGGCGTCGCTGCGCGTCGCGGCGCTGCAGCGCGAGGTCGCGGCGACGCAGCTCGTGCGCGCGCGCCGCCCGCTCGCCCTGTAGCGCCAGCTTGTCGGCCTCCAGCTCGTGCACGCGGCACACCAGCGCCAGCACCTCGCGCTCCGGACCGCTGCTGATCCGGGCCGGTAGCTCCTACAACAAACGTAATTCGATTGAACAAGGATCGTTCGGTCCTAATCCTGCAGTTTCCTCTTTCGTTGTTTATTCAAGAAACTATGAAGTAAGGGAAAGCAGTAGTTAAAAAACAAAAGTGTGGTGTCGTGGGACACCGGATAGGAACGAAGTTCCTTAATATAAAAATATTAATTTTAAGTTCTATTCGAGGTATAAAGAAAATAATTATTCGGGTATACATTTTTTATTGTGATTTTTTTTATTGATAAAAACAAAACAAAAATACTTTACAAAGTTATCAACTTTATTTTATTCATAATGATTTATAAAAAATATATAATAAAAAAATATGTTATTTTTTGTACGTTATTACAAAGTTAAGTCGCACACTGTATGCATCACTAATAAAAATCTTACGTTACGGACGTTTTTTCCCGGTTAGGGTACCCCTCCGCATCGTCCCATAAGGAACTTCGTTCCAAAACCTATATTAAATATCTTAATAATCCCTTTTCTTTTGAACTTCACTAATTTACCTCACATTCGTACCAGTAAATTAGATGTTCGTTTTTACCCATACTCTGCGTGTTAATTCGGTAATAGAGTTTGTTTGGGAGCCCCCCAGTTCGTACCTGCTCTAGTTGAGCTCCTCGCAGCCTGACTTGTTCGAGTTGCCTCTCGACGCGGTCGCGCTCTGTCCGCGCGGCCTCCTGCTCGCGCTCCACGGCGGCGAGCTCGGCCCACGCCTGCTCCACCGCCACCTCGGCCTCCGCGCGCTCGCTGCCGGCCGTCGAGCCCGTGCCTCCCCTTTACGGACATCTCGGTATCATTCAACGGTAAGCTACCATTGGCCGATGACATTCGTACACCGACACAATCGACAAGTGACAAGATTGACTCAGGATCACCATGACTAATACTTGATACTGAGTCCCGCGGGACCGCATACAACTCGAGACGTACTACAACGTGAGACCTCATACAACGCAAGACCTACTACAACACGCGACCTCATACAACGCGGGACCTCATCCAATGCTAGACCCCATACAACGCGAGATCTCATACAACACGCGACCTCATACAACGCGGGACCCAACCAACGCTAGACCCCATACAACGCGAGACCTCATACAACGCAGAACTTCATACAACGCAGGACCTCATACAACGCGGGACCTCATACAACGCGGGACCTCATACAACGCGATACCTACTACAACGCGAGACCCCATACAACGCGAGACCTCATACAACGCGAGACCTCACACAACGCGACACCTACCACATCGCGACACCTACTACAACGCGACACCTACCACAAAGTGAGATCTCGTACAACGTAAAAAAAAGTAAAAAATGTAGTCTATGACTATTTTACTTTACCTCACCTCATACAACGTTAGACCCCATACAACGCGAGACCCCATACAACGCGAGACCTCATACAACGCGGGACCTCATACAACGCGAGACCTCATACAACGCGAGACCTACTACAACCCGAGACCTCATACAACGCGAGACCTACTATAACGTGAGACCTACTACAACGCGAGATCTCACACAACGCGACACCTACCACAAAGTGAGATCTCGTACAACGTAAAAAAATGTAAAAAATGTAGTCTGACTATTTTATTTTACCTCACCTCATACAACGTTAGACCCCATACAACGCGAGACCTCATACAACGCGAGACCCCATACAACGCGAGACCCCAAACAACGCGAGACCTCATACAACGCGAGACCCCATACAAACCGAGACCTCATACAACGCGGGACCTCATACAACGCTAGACCCTATAAAACGCGAGACCCCATACAACGCGAGACCTCATACAACGCGAGACCTACTACAACGCGACACCTACTACAAAGTGAGATCTCGTACAACGTAAAAAAATGTAAAAAATATAGTCTATGACTATTTTACTTTACAAATGTAAACTCTTATGACTACATTTAAATTTAGATTAATATAATATATTACACGCTAGTATTATACGCTATTGGAATCCAATGTCGCTATCCACTGCGCGGAGGACAGAAGTGAATGGAGGAACATAGTCCTAACGAAATTGCTCAGTAAAAGTGACTCAGAACTGAGGAATACGACGCACGGAGGAGGAGTATTATACGCTAGTATTACATATATTTATATCGCTTCGCTTCGGAAACATTAAATTTGATTATTGATAGCTGAGTCCCGCGATGTTACCCGCGGTTATTTTCGTACCACGGGTGAAGCCGCAGGGTGAAGCTAGTCTAAAAAAAGAAGCATAAGTTACTCCTTATATCATCAGCTACCTATCAGTGAAAGTCCCGTCAAAATCAGTCCAGCCGTTCCAGAGATTAGCCGGAACAAACAGACAGATAGACAGACAGACAGACAAAAATNAACGCGACACCTACTACAAAGTGAGATCTCGTACAACGTAAAAAAATGTAAAAAATATAGTCTATGACTATTTTACTTTACAAATGTAAACTCTTATGACTACATTTAAATTTAGATTAATATAATATATTACACGCTAGTATTATACGCTATTGGAATCCAATGTCGCTATCCACTGCGCGGAGGACAGAAGTGAATGGAGGAACATAGTCCTAACGAAATTGCTCAGTAAAAGTGACTCAGAACTGAGGAATACGACGCACGGAGGAGGAGTATTATACGCTAGTATTACATATATTTATATCGCTTCGCTTCGGAAACATTAAATTTGATTATTGATAGCTGAGTCCCGCGATGTTACCCGCGGTTATTTTCGTACCACGGGTGAAGCCGCAGGGTGAAGCTAGTCTAAAAAAAGAAGCATAAGTTACTCCTTATATCATCAGCTACCTATCAGTGAAAGTCCCGTCAAAATCAGTCCAGCCGTTCCAGAGATTAGCCGGAACAAACAGACAGATAGACAGACAGACAGACAAAAATTGTAAAAAATGTTATTTTCGTGTACCGTATATATATTCATATGCATGTAGTAAAAAGAGGCTATTTCAATATTACAAACAGACACTCCAATTTCATTTATATGTATAGATGACGTCTTTACCTACGAAAGTGCTACGAAAGCCATTTTTTTTCATTCATGCTGTGTAAACTATCTCCCCTTGGTGTCGTTGCATCTCTGCCAGCACAGAGATAATTTTTAAGTTTTTTTTTTTTTTCAGAAAAATCAGGTTTACAGGAGGCAAAAAAACTCTTCAAAGGTATTTTGTACTGCCTCTCAGGTCTGAATTTTTACGTTGCCAATAAGTTGACCAAACTTTGAAAAAAATTAGAAGTTTGTCGGCGCAAGGTCTATTGCGCCAATACTACAGCGGAGATGGATTGATATAGATATTAATGTAGGAAATGTAGTTTTGAAGTCGCCGTGGCCTAACGGATAAGATTTCCGGTGCATTCGTGTTGAGTGATGCAACGGTTTGCGAATCTCAGGCGGGTACCAATTTTCCTAATGAAATACGTACTCAACAAATGTTCACGATTGACTTCCACGGTGACGGAATAACATCGTGTAATAAAAATCAAACCCACAAAATGAAACTTTGCGTAATTACTGGTGGTAGGTACACCTCTTGTGAGTCCGCGCGGGTGGGTACCACCGCCCTGCCTGTTTCTGCCGTGAAGCAGTAATGCGTTTCGGCTTGAAGGATGGGGCAGCCGTTGAAACTATACTGAGACCTTAGAGCTTATATCTTAAGGTGGGTGGCGCATTTACGTTGCTGATGTCTATGGGCTCCAGTAACCACTTAACACCAGGTAGGCTGTGAGCTCGTCCACCCATCAAAGCAATAAAAATAAAGAACAAAAAAGGACCCACCTGTAACTCTGCTGCGTGCTAAGACGCGATCCGGGGATGGTGACGGGCTTGTACAGCCTGTTGAAGCGAGCCTCCCAATGCGAAATGGCCGCGTGCTGCCGCTCTGCGTCCAGCGCAAGCCCCAGCAGGTGACTATCTAGTTCCATCAGACGTCGTCTCAACCTCATCTGCTGTTTGAATGTAGACACAATAGCTTCACGCAGTGACTTTAAATGCGCTGCGCTTTCAGCCGTCTCCTCGTGGATTTCCTCGTCGTTCGGATAATCTTCCCTAGGTCTGTCCGAAAAACTAATTACACGTACATTTTGATTAATCTTAATAAATGAGTAAAGCAATTTAGTTTTGACGAAGGAATAAATTGATTCTCGACAGTAATAATAATTATAATATTATTTAATTTTATTCTGAAAAATGAACAACTATATTATTTCATTTCTATATTTAGGCAGGCAAATAAGAGTTTATTGTTGATTTGTATGCGGTTTTTAAAACTCAAATCGTTCAGAAAACTTGTCTCAGATTTGTCTATTTTTGCAACCAGTTTAATGGAGAGGACATTCGTTAAATAATATAAAAGACTTCATATGTCAGAGGTGGATGGCGGTGTTCACACAGCGATCTTTGTGGGATCTAGTAACCACTTCACACGGCTAAAATATAAAAAAAAAACAATAGTTCCATAGCCCGGCCAATACAATTAAATCGCCTAAAGGTTCATGCATATTATCGAAAATAGTCAATTATATTCTGCATAAGCAAGATGTCTGTTACACATATTTTGATGTCTGTGTGCTATTATATATACGTTTTTGATTCCTAACCTACCTACTTAATGCTGTGTGAAACCGGAGATGTTTTGTCCCAATACAGTAATTAAATATTATTATAAGTAGAGCTCTGTATTCTACCGCTTTGTTCCGGAATTAAACAATAATTCCTCTGTTTTATTATATACACATATACGAGTATACATAAATCTGGGGCAATTGTCAACGTACCTGGAGCGATCATCTTTCATTTTCATCTTTAACCGAGATATCTCTTCGCGCAGTTCATTTATTACCGTTCGGTACTGAGACATTTGCATCGGCGTTTCGATTAACTCTCTTTCCACCTATTAAAATCATTGGATAATATATTTATATATTAGATGGGGGGACGAGCTCACAGTCCACCTGGTGTTAAGTGGTTACTGGAGCCCATAGACATCTACAACGTAAATGCGTCACCCACCTTGAGATATAAGTTCTAAGCTTTCAGTATAGTTACAACGGCTGCCCCACCTTTCAAACCGAAACGCATTACTGCTTCACGGCAGAAATAGGCAGGGTGGTACCTACCCGCGCGGACTCACAAAAGGTCCTACCACCAGTAATTACGCAAATTATAATTTTCCGGGTTTGATTTCTATTACACGATTTTATTCCTTCACCGTGGAAGTCAATTGTGAGCATTTGTCAAGTACGTATTTCATTAGAAAAATCCGTACCCGCCTGCGGGATTCGAACACCGTTGCGTCGCTAGATACGAATGCACCGAGCGTCTTATCCTTTAGGCCACGACGACTTTGAATGATTTTGGATGAACGCTTTCAAGTGTGATTGTATACTGGATTTCCTTCTTTAATTTTTAAACGAATATATTTAATTTAACTGAAAAAATCGTACATGCGAATACTGTGCTCGTAATAACCAAACAACATTTTGCTAAATTTGATAATTTGAGAAAAGCTAAAATCAATCCAAATATTATCACTGGCGTACTTTGTGTGCCAAATCGCGATTAGATATGAGTCGACTATTGTCAAAGCCGGCAATGTGACTTTTGGACAATTATTGGTAAATCAGAAAAACGAATTATTGACTTTGTATTCTATTGGCAGTCACAAAACTCTTCTGAACCACATTTTAGATAAATAACAGGTTAAGTATTAACCTTTGTTTAATGCAGGTTTTGAACCGTATTCTTTGAAGGAGACGATTATATTCAAATCAATCTGTATTGACATATCAATAACATTTTTTTGTCCAAATGCACAGATTGCCACCTTTGATAATAGACGACTCATATACGTATCCCCAATATTAATAAAAGTATAAACTGATATTTTCACGTGTGCTGTTTTTTTTCCTACCTATTCTAGTAACCTCGAGGGTCTATTCTAGATTCTCCGAACTAGTGGGTGAGCTCACGAGGCTCAAACACTGGCCCTAGCAAGAGCAGTGCTTCGCAGAATCTACCACCGGATCGAAAACACGACCCACTGAGAAGATCCGGCGAGAAACTCAGTAGGCTGTGTCTATGGGTTAATTTACTCGTCGAGCCCTTCGTCGCAAGCAATGGGTTCGGCGACGGTGACCGGTGCTTGAGGTATCTAAAAGCACCGTTAATGGATCGGGAACGTGTGCTGATGATGATAATTTATAATATTGTAGTTACCCGGTTAGTTATAGTAGAGGCTCGTTGCGCGTAATGTAGCGTAGAGCGCGTCGTATCGCGATGGGAGGCGCCAGGAGCCACGTGCGCGACCATGGCGGTACGACACCGCCCGCCCAGCACCTCGCGCAGCAGACGAGTCAACTTAGAGTCCCGGTAATTAACGTATCTGTCGTGAACATTGAATGACGTTTGACAAACCAAAACAAACAAACCCATTGTTCGGTACAATACAGGGCGTGTTTTCCCCGAAAACAAAGGTGTTTTATTTTCTAACACGATAACACTGTAGACGAAATAAAATTTACGAAAATTAAATATTTTACTTCTGTTTTTTGTTAAGTTGTAATTGTTGTAATTAAAATAAATAAAAAACGAATGACTCGTGGTATTTATTCATGTTTCGAACATTCTGGTCTACCCAGCATTTTCAAGCGCTTTGTGGAAGAACTTCCCTTTTTCGCTATCCCCAAAGTTCTATAGCATCGGACTTACAGCGAAAGACGAGCATAATTACATATGTTTGGTAAAAATAGTTAACCAAGTTTTTTTACCGTAAAGAAAGTTTTCTGTTTTCTATTTGGCAGAGATGCACCCCTATGCCAAATATCTAATTCAAACAGCCAGTGGTAATATACATATTATGTCAAAAGCTTTAACAAATCCACCAACGAGATAATCAAATGGTATCGCACGCTGTGTACCTATGTATAATTTAAGTAGATATTAGTGGTAACTTATAATGTCTTATTGCTTACCCGACATTATTTTGGTACTTGACATAGTCTGTAATAGCGTCATAGATTATACACTAATATACAAATAGCATTGTCGTAATCACAATATTTAGACAAAGCGCGTTTCCGTTAATAATACGTGTCTTGTTAGCTATTCAACCATGTAATACATTAAAAGTAGCATGTTTGAAGTCAGTAGCCGTGTAGGTGAGAAACCCAGTATTCGCCAGGGTACAAACCGGGTACAATTTAAACCAATGCGCAAGTACCACTTTTTCACGAACGATTTCCATAGTGACGGTAAAACATAGTCAATCACATAGAAGCTGTAGGTGTGAGTGACTAAAGATACATACCACCGAACTACCTAATTGCTTATTTTTGCTGCGAACAAAACATACTACTTAAATACATAAAACATACTAAACCAACCAAAAATGCACGCATGATCACATATAATCACTAGATTTTGTTTAACAAGTTCGACATTTACTTATGCTTGGATCGTAAATAATTTTTTTTTCCTACCTAAACTGAGAGCCTTGAGAGGCTATATCAGCATAACCTTAGTTACTAGGTGAGCTCACGGGGCTCAAACCTGATGACGTTGCTAACACGAACCCTAGCAAGAGCCGTGCTTCGCAGAATCTACCACCGGATCGGAAACGCGACCCACTGAGAAGATCCGGCGAGAAACTCAGTGGGCTGTGTCTGAGGGTCGTAAATAATATTAGCCTGTTACTGTACATACTTTCTGTAAAATAAATTATCTTTATCGTCTTTATTATGCGTTATGAGTGATATAATATTAGGTACCTTGCGCCACCGGATAGTGCCATAATGCAGTTTCCAAGAGCTAGCAGAGAGCGGTTGATGTGCGCTCCCTCTAGCCTTCGTGCTCGAAGACCTGCCTTCTCTGAACCGGCCAGGTCAATGAGGAACAACCGGCCGCGTTGCATACACGCACCTAATTGTTTGCTGACTATAACGCTGAAAATAAAACATATAACCTTTTCATTGGTTTTCATGAGCTGTAGACATAATTAAAACTTCATTTACTGTTCAAACTTGTTACGTTTAAACTTTGAAGTAGACGTGGCCCAAAGAATAAGTGCATTCGTATCTAGCGATGCACCGGTGTTCGAATCCCGCAGGCGCGTACCAATTTTTCTAATGAAATACGTACTTAACAAATGTTCACGATTGACTTCCACGGTGAAAGAATAGCATCGTGTAATAAAAACCAAACCTGCAAAATTATAATTTGCGTAATTACTGGTGGTAGGACCTCTTGTGAGTCCACACGGGTAGGTACCACCACCCCGCCTATTTCTGCCGTGAAGCAGTAATGCGTTTCGGTTTGAAGGGTGGGACAGGCGTTGTACTTGTAACTATACTGAGACCTTAGAACTTATATCTCAAGGTGTGTGGCGCATTTTCGTTGTAGATGTCTATGGGCTCCAGTAACCACTTAACACCAGGTGGACTGTGAGCTCGTCCACCCATCTAAGCAATAAAAATAAAATAAAAGTAACCGAAGTACCAAATCATTAAATGAAATCGTAACACGGAGATCATCTATTTAACATACGACACGATAGTTAACAGAAAATTATAACCCTATCAGCTCTAATTATAATCGAATTACAAACCCATTATCAAATCGACTACTATAGAAATTACTGTCGTCGATATATCTATACATTATGATATACGTAAAAATGAAGTTTCAAGATTACTTCCGTTTTATACATCATTATTATAGTTGAACTTAAATCATCTTAACTGACAATGAATGAAATGTGAAATATGTAGTGTAAGCCAAGAAAAACAGCACCCTATCTCTTGGTGTCGTAAAGGCGATTATGAAAGTCATCGGAAAATGGGCAGCAGCGTTCTATGTGTATTACACTGGCCTTTACTGGTGGTATGGAATATTGTGATCCTGTACTGATAGCATTATCCGGACAATTCCGCCATACTCATGCATTCCATTTTGAAGGGCAGTACAGCCTTTATACAATACCTATAATTAAAAACTCGACCTCATGTCTCAAAGCAAGTTGTGACCTATCTGAGCTCCGGTACAAATTTTGCACCGAGTGGACCATGAGCTCGTTCACTGATATATACACAATTTAAAGTCGAAGTTTGGTACCATTTTGCTTAATTTAAGCAGGGCAGGGGCTTTCCCTTCATCTTCAACTCCTATTAGATATTGAGCACTATTTGTACAGCGTCTTGTAAGGTTACACGGGTATGTAGTACGGTATTTTTTGCGGCTCATAGAATAGAATTACCGTTAACAGTGCAACTGAGACTTTTTTGTAAAAATTCTTCTGTGAGCTTATTGCGAGTTTTTTAGCTTTCTCGGTAGCGTAAATGTTAGCTCGTATTTGTATGGAATGGGATCGTTTGTCTACGTTTGCCGCTAGGGGCGATGTTCTAACTGCATATAAAATTGGGCTAACTTTTACGCTATCGAGAACGTTAAAAAACTCGCATTAAACACACTGTTGTCTGTGGCTTTGTTTAAATTGCCTTTTCGGGTATGGTACACTACCTTAGCAAAGCGTGTCCTCTTGATGAATGTTGGTTGGCATGGGTGGGCTCTGCGGTGCGAGCCCTGTCACCTCGGGCTAGTAGCTCAGCAACGTGTCCGGCACTATTAGCTCGTAGCTCGCTCAACCCTGTGACAACGGGCGCTCCACTACCACCCTCGTCCCGAAGCTCTAGCGGTCCGGCCGTAGGATTCAACAGATCTCGTATATTCTCGTTGTAAATTTCTAAATATGACATTTTAACCTGTGAAATGATTTTTTTATAGTTAACTGGCTGTACCCGTCCGCTTCGCTGAGCATTTAAAATTAACATTATTATTTCTCACCCCCACAAAGATTCTCATCACTAACGCCCCCGCAACTGGTGTAGGAAGTCCAACACTCATATAAATATGCCTATCCATTAAGTACATGTATTTTCTACATGGATGCCAAGTTTCAAGTCAATCGGATGCACGGTTCAGTAGTTATAACGGAACATCCGTAAAAACCACTGTAGATTTATATATTAGTATAATGTTTATTACCCGTTGTGACTGTGTCATTCTGTATCTCTTTTAAAAGTTCTTAATTGTCAATTAAGAGATGAGATTGAGATTTGCAACAATAATATTTTTTCAATATTTTCAAGTTTTTACAGTCCATGACAATGACTCTGTTTCCACCTGTCTTTTAAGGATGTAAATATTTTTTTTGATAACAAATAAAAAATGTATTAAGTACAACATCTCACCACATAATAACAACGTGAATAATGTCCTTGATGTTGCATGTAAAAGATGTTATTGTTGATAAACTTTAGTACGAGTTATGACGCATACTGGGTATAATAACCGGCAAACTTCTTGAGCATTTGTTGACGTAGTGGGGGTAAGTTTGCGCATGGTACACTCACGTGCAAAAACATTACTTACTCTGCGTCATAATGCTATTAAATTATTAAAATCAACATAATTATGTATTTATTTATATATTTATTAGAACATCAACAAAACATATAGGTTAAAAATTGTAATAATTTAATCTTGGGGTAAAATAGATATTCCTTCTATTAAGTCAAAACTAGAGCTGTTGCCAGGTCTTGGTTCAGTTGAAGCGAAGCTGGTATTTGTAATTTTTTTTTCGTTATCATAATCTTGACCATCATCATCATCACTGTTTTCATCACCCGAGTCGCTATCATCGTGATGAGTCGACATAGGGCTCATCGGCGTAGTTTACAACTCGGTCGATTCGGTCTTCTTTTTTGTCTATAATTAATTATTTTTTGAAGATATTCGATTCGTAGTAATCGAATGTTACTTTTTTCATTTACCAGCTTCCGATTATTTTCTGTTCTTTTTTTCCATCTGAAGCCTAGCTCTTTCATAATTCGTCGTAAGCTTCATTCCGAGCCATTAAAATTTATATCTTCTTTAAATTTTTCGAAGCCTTTCTACGGTACGGAGTTTCGCTGCTTGTTATGTAGTTATTATGATTACATCTTTTTATTACAGATTGAACGAAACTATCCATTCCGGTAACTTTCTTCTTCCCTGATCTTTTCTTACCCGGAGTCCGAAACACGGCGAGCAAGCCAGAGCCTTTAGCTTCGTTAATAATGCACCTAACAGTACTCACTGATGTTTTTGTTGCTTCCGAAGTCTGTTTTAATTTTTCCATATCATTCTTCCCCTGTTTTATAATGAAGCAATATACGTCGTACACAAATTTTCTACCCTTTCTTTTAAGTACTACACCAGTTTGTCACGGCATAGTGTATGTTTTATAAAAAATCAACAAACACTCAACAAATAGCAATGGCAACAAAGTCCACAAGCAATTATAACAAATAACTTAACGATTAATAACGATAGACTTTCCACTGTACGCAAGCGTACTTTTGGGAGCAAGCGGAATGAGGGCGCGGTGCGGGACGCAAGGCTCGACTGATCTACCAATAACGCGCTCGATACGATTTCCCCTGCCGTCGCGCCTCACCCTCACCACCAAAGTGATCTAAAATTCGGTTCTGCGCAGTCAAGGTCATTTGCTCAAGAAGTTTGCCGATTACTATACGTGTAGACATGCTAGGCAACAATGGCGGGCAATGCTGTAAATACTATAATAACAAACGCGTAGGACATTGATCGCCTATTTATTTAATAATAATGAACTGTGAAAAGTTCTTAAGAGCAAATATATTCCTAGTTTTTGTTACAAAAGATACAATTGAATTTATTTCACATTAATGACTTAATTGGTGAGTCATTTTCTGCCTGGAATTTGTCAAAACTCAAGTTACCACCATTATAATCAATATTATATTTCGACCGACGATTTTAGGAAAATTAACCCAAGTATGAAACTGGAACTAGTTTATTAAAAAACTGCAAAACGCTAATCATGAATACGGCCTGGTATTGGATGAGACAGAACTCATCCCAGGTAGACTGGAGGTAAAGTGAAGTTGATACGTTTCGCGTGAAGCACATCAGTCACGCTCATCACATCTATCACACTGTCTCCCCTGGAAGCTGAACCGGCAGCCAGCTACGGCACTACGACCGCTGCTCCCAACTGGCCTCAACTCAAGTCCCCGGGATACTTCGAGCATGGTAGCAAAGATGGCAGACCTAACAAATTCCACCAGTATACACACATACGTAAATTGTGCAGTACTAATTTCCAGGTGACATTTAAGTACATTTGGGTATTTGGTTTTTTTTTATTGCCCTTATAGACAGAGGAGCATATGGCCCACCTGATGGTGAGTGGTTACCGTCGCCCATGGACTTCAGTAACGCTAAGAGCAGAGGCAAGCCGCTGCCTAATGAAACTTACTTTGGATACTTACTTTTTAAAAAAGTGTAAATATACAAAGGTCTTTATTAAACTGATCATAATTCGATAATCCTTAAACTACGCTGCGGTAAGTGTGATGTCAAACACGCCGACTGCAATCCATTATCAGATTTGGCAGGGTAAACGGGGCGAGGTCACAGATTATAATTAAACGAAAAGCCTGTGTTAGAAAATTATTTTGTACAAAGCAATCATTCGCTTCTCTCTTAATATAATAACTCAGGTGCTTAGGATGGAATTAAATGTGGTATAAAGAATTAGACTTTATGTGTATCACAAGATGCAACTATCCTCGTGTTCGAATTCTGTAAGCAGGTACCAATTTTTCTAAGGAAATAATAATAATATACTTAACACTTGTTTTAAGTAGGTATGCAAGGGTAGATAGAAATAATAGGAGATCCCGCCAAAGTCTACCTCGAATCAGAAATGCATTTCGATGTGAAGGGTGGGACACCCGTATAAAATGAAACTGAAGCTTTAACCTCCTGTATCAACCTTGCAGCATTCAATCTATGTGGTCTATGGGCTCCAGTACTACTGAAAAACAATCTAGGTAATAAAAAAAGGGTGCGTGTACTTATGTACGCGCGTAAGAAGTTATACTTTATTTTTATTAAAAAAAAAATTTTTATTTAAATTTTAATCAATTTGAAAAAAAATCAATTAAACAGCATCCTCAAACACGCATATTGGACATCCCTTTTCTTGACATCGTATAAATTCGGTAATTCTCGGTACGGTTCGGAAAGTTCACCTGCGGCTATATTCAAACTCGCCAAGTTACGTCGGTCGTATTGTAATGAGCGATTTAGTGGGCAACTTCATTTCTGTTAATTTTGTGTTAAGATGCGCGCGCATCGTAAAATTTCACTCTCATCAATTTTTCATAACGCGCTTAAAGAAGTATAACTTCAAAAAATTATTTACAATTTTACGATAACAATGCTCCTACTAAACAATGATATGCGTGTTTTACGGCGTTTATTTTTTTAAGCTTTCGTGTAGCTTACTTTATGAAAAGTACAGGCACGTCAATTCGTTAATTCATCAGTAAAACAGCGATATCCACATAGATTTTTATGGGCGTAGTGGTTGCTAGGTAGCGACAAGGTCATTAGCTTGTTTGATCAGGTAATGTTCTTACAATGCCCTTGCGGTTTCGAAAAACGAAGACATGTAGTCCTGGTGTTTATCATTATATTTTGGTGTTGGACTCAAATTTTGTGGTCAAAACTGGTGGTAGGACCTCTTGTGAGTCCGCACGGATAGGTACCACCACCCTGCCTATTTCTGCTGTGAAGCAGTAATGCGTTTCGATTTGAAGGGTGGGGCAGCCGTTGTAACTATACTGAGACCCTTAGAACTTATATCTCAAGGTGGGTGGCGCATTAACGTTGTAGATGTCTATGGGCTCCAGTAACCACTTAACACCAGGTGGGCTGTGAGCTCGTCCACGCATCTAAGCAATAAAAAATAAATAAAAAATAAAGCATTGTCTTTAAACCTTCAAACACCGTTTGCATGAGTTTCACTGCTATCTTTAAAAACAAACTTCATCTTAGTCGGATACCCACAACCATGTCTATTGTTCTCTTTGCAAGGCCATTGCACTCAGAGTATCTATAGTTTCCAGTGCGTCTTACAGAGGCTACAAGTTCGTTATCAGCAGTGCTAGTTTTACTAAGAAACTCCAAGATGCGTCCTCCTGGCACAATACGTGAGACGCAATGCTACGTCGTCCTGTCCTTGTTTAAGATTTCAAATTAACTAAATATAAAATTTTCTTACTTCTCTTTTTTGGGAAACTTAGTATGGAAAATAGAATACTTAAAAAAATCTTAAATCCTAAAATTGTAAATCCCTCGATAGGCAAACGAATTTTGTATTTATATATTTAGTGAACACGCTGCGGTAGAAACAGGCATGATGGTGCGCTTTCGCTAACACGTGTGCTTTTAAAAAACTTTGTTTTTTGGAGCTATAGGCGATTATTTGCTAATAATTTAGAAACGACGAACGATTGATAACAATTCCAATATTTTCGGTGACCAGAGGCATTCATAAATATCCATTAGCCATACCGGCCATTTACGATAATAACACGTTTCCACCGTAGTTTACACGTCCAAATGGTAAATAAACTGACAGTTCAATAGCACAGCATACATTTCATAAATGTGACTTATAATTTCTCTAGCTCGAATTTTAATATTAGGGGTTAAAATATGAAATTGCTGATTTGTACTGAAGAATTGAAATTCGTTTTTTTTTTTCATTTAACATATTTATTTAATCAAAATATCTACCATTATTATTTATACATTGCTGCTATCTAATAGGAAGGTCATATATGCCTTTGCGATAGAACTCTGGTGATCTAGTTTCTACAAGCTGTGT